AAGGGCGAAAATTAAAATTTAGATTGTAACACAATCATTCGTAGCGCATTCGACTTAAAAAATAGATAACTGGCTACAGCTGACCCATATGCAGGGATGTTTACTTTAGTGTCCAATAGTCGATCACTCCAGTCTAAAAGTTACGGTCGTTATGACTGTTGTTGTAGCTTAAAATCTGAGTAGACATGAGAAAAGTTTACTTAGGTTTTTAGCTAAAGTAATTATAGAAATTCCAATAGTCAAACAGTACTTTGACATTATTGATTCAAACCTGAAAAGTATAAAGAACACCATAAATCAATACAGTAGAACCTTGATAACGAGACTCTCATAGGGATTGTAAAATAAGACTTGTTATCAAGGTTGACTTCTTATCTAGGTTTGTAATAACATGTGATTAGGGGTAAACCAATTTTTTAAACTTTTTTTAGAACGAGTAACTAAATTTAGTAAATCTCACAGCTACCAATTTTTATTTTATTTTTATTTAAATAGCGTTTTCTATAATTTCTCCGTTAAATCTATGTACAAAGATCATTATAAATTATACTATTTTCAACTAAAATATATATGTACGATATCAATTTAATGTCAACGATAAAATGTCAAGCACTGTATCGTGAATATGTGAGAAACTCACTATAAAACATAATTTTAGACCATCGATGTTTTAGACAAGACTATTGAAATCATCGTTAGGAGGGTCTATTCACGAACTCAACATAACGAAAGACGGTGTAGCTTTTGACCTTTCCCTGCCACGGGTATTATTGTTGTATGCCTATCAATTATTTGCAAGCCCCACCTTCTAACTGTTCATTACTCTTGGTTTGGACTTGAATTTGCACACCAAGTTATAATAAGTGCATTTTGTGAAGGAAATTTTTGTATTTGTTTGGCTTATGGATATTGTTTTATTTAAATCTAAATAAATGTGTAGGCATTTCGATAACATTATAAATTGTTGGCAAGAAAAACAAGTACAATCATAAGAATGTACCCTTCTTACGTTTGATTTTGAACAAGATACAGACTTTTCAGTTTTTGGCACTTAAAATACTTGTCAAAATGGTTTCAAACATTGTAAACTTCAATGTTAGTGGGGAGAAGGCCTACACGTTCAATTCACTCATCCCACTTCGTAAGAAAACGTATGATGTTCATGAAGGCGTTCACTAGAGTTTTTTTTCTCTCTAGGGTCCCCATATACCACTATATACCGCAGTATACCATAATATACCGTAATATACTGCAATATACCACAATATACCGCAATATGCCACAATATACCGCAATATACCACAATATACCTCAATATACCACGATATACCACAATATACCGCAATATATATACCACAATGTACCACAATATACCGCAATATACCGCAATATAACACAATATACCACAATATACCACAATATACCACATTATTTCACAATATACCACAATATACTACAATATACCACAATACACTACAATATACAGCAATATACCGCAACATACCACAATATACCGCAATATACCGCAATATACCACAATGTACCACAATATACCACAATGTACCACAATATACCACAATATACCGCAATATACCGCAACATACCACAATATACCGCAATATACCACAATATACCGCAATATACCACAATATACCTAACATACCACAATATACCGCAATATACCGAAAAATACCACAATATACCACAATATACCACAATATACTGCAATATACCGCAATATACCGCAATATACCGCAATATACCGCAATATACCGCAATATACCACAATATACCGCAATATACCGCAATATACCACAATATACCGCAATATACCACAATGTATCGCTCAAATACACTCGGGGAACGCACGTGAAAACACTATTACGAGTTAAGGTAAGTGCGTTCCCGCCCCTAGATAACATCAGTGAATGTTGAATCCCCTTGGATAAGTTATTGGATATTGGCAATGCCTATGGCTATTGGATGTGAAGTTGGATATTGGATTTGGATTCTTTGATGGCACTATTATCTTAATTACAGTCTTATACAACTTTCTCGGCAAATACATGTATCTCATCTATTACCTTAAAGTTTTATATTGCATCATTAATTAACAATCAAAGCTAGAAAACGAAATAATTCGCATGTAATGATAAAGTCTCAAAACGACTTCCAGCTTGTTTTCAAATCAGCTAATGCAAATAAGCAGCTGTTTAGTAAGTGATTCAATCGTTTCGTCTATTACGATTGTATTACAGTACATTATTCCATCGATATGTCGAGCAATCGACACCAATAGGCTAAAACCTTACCTAATAAATCAACCGATAAATAATTTCGATCGATACGATTGCCAAAATGGAAATGTACAACTGTTTACAACAGCTGATTTTTACTCCCTAGGAACAAAAAATTATCTTTACTCCCTAGAGAGTAAAAACGCATGCATTAAAAATGGCTGCTTTTGCTAGTGTGTGACGAAAATTAGTTATAGCATTAGCAACGTAAAAAAAGGTTTACATTAAAACGTATTCTACATGCAAAACTAAATGTCATCAGCTGATCCACAATAATGACATAAGAGTATGTATTTATATGGCTTAAATTGTTGGAACATGTAACTTATTTCAAAAGAGGCTGAGTTGAACTAAAAGCGACGGTCCAACAAGATTTATCGATTGGTGATAAATAGTCTTAGGATATTGGAGTTGCAGTAACGGAAATTGAAACTTAGCGACCTGCTTAGACCCCGTACTTCCGAGGTGACTTGACCTTAGAGTTACATAACTACAAGGGGTGAAATGATATTACACCATAGAAAAAATATGTCAACAGTTAAAAGTTTACATAAATTATTATTGTATACTGTTCCGATTTTCCCCCTTAGTTTTGTTCAACACTAAAAATATGTTTAGGAATAAAGTGTTCTTCCTACGGTGCAATAATGTATATTACAGTACATATCTATCTTGGTTTATTCTTTGGGTTGGAATTTGGGATTTTACGAAGTACAGCATGGTTAATAAGAGATTATGCTTCACAAAACTTGAAAACAGAGTAGTCTTAATATATATTTTCAACCTTCAGAATATTTACTTTCAGAATTTTGCATCTTTCCTATTCAAACTCATATCATTGCATCATTCCTAGGCTTATCATTGCAAACTTTTACCACGTTTTTTGAACAGCTTATAATATTAATTATGAAAAATCGCGCTTAAACTAAAAAAATTAATTAAATTTTAAATTAATACACTCTTTTCTTAAACTAAGATTAGATTTCCTAAAGCTGGGTACTATACTGAAACCATTCAGAGATTAAGGTCAATTTTAGAACACACATTGACTGCAATCTTACAAATTTGACAGTCTATATTGAATAAAGATAATTATTGCACTCACGTCCAATATAAAAAGCACTTTTTACAATCAAAATATCTTTAAAAGTCATAGCTAATTCGTACCAAACTATACTACTAATGTCATCGGCTTACTTCGGCCAATATGAGAATGAAGCTTCCGGCAATACTGATTAGTGTGCTCAGAACACATAGAGTTTCTCTCTCGTGTGTTGTCTAATTGGTATACTATATTATATTCTCAAAGGTGACTAAATGGTTGCACTATATAACGTGCTCAGCTAATCAATATAATTGATAATGTTGCTAATTATAAACATCTGAAATATTGGATGTTTGTGTGCATGTCACATGGAAAAAGCATGTGAAAAATACTGGATTGATTGAGTTGAGATTTTGAAGAAATAAAGTTAATGCACATGGAGATAGGTGAACTTCTGTTTTGTGTGTTTTATTTACAACGTGAAAATTTGTGTGTTATTCAATAAGATGGTTATGTTTTATCAACGAAATGTTCTTAAAGTTCCGCTTAACGCTTTTAGTAGTTTGTATTAGGCGCTAGAGGTAAAGAGGCTTGACCAAAATCAAGGTATTCAAGTAAATCATCACTGTCTTATGTGTTATCAACATAAAATAATTAATTGATTTTATTGCTACACTACGGTACGTTTGAATAAAATTAATGACATTGTCAGCATAATTTGTTTTGCATTATCTTTCTATCCCTCGTTCATGTTCTTATTTTTCCTCTTACTACTTTTCTTCCTCATTTGTATCTTCTTCTACCCTATTCTTATCCACCCGCCTCACCATACTTCTTATCCTGAGATTCCACCTAATCATTTTTATTTACAGATTTCTTTCAATTACATACATAACCATCATTGACTTCTTCACATTTTTATTACCATGCTTTACCAATCCATCCTATTTATCTACCCTTTTTATGACGTCTTCTTTAATTTAAACATCCCAACCTCTTCCTTCACAACTTTAACTCAAATTTTATCTTTTACTTCTTCATTAAAATCTACTCATCTTTCTTAAAACTTCTAACCATTCTCTTCTTCACCCCCTTCTTTATTGCCTCCTCCTTCTTAACCTCTTTCTCATTCTCCCAGCTACCCCATTTATCTACTTTACCAACCCCTCTTTTAATCTCTTCCTCTGCCCATTCTTCCATTACCTTTATGATATTTTTTTCGTTTTCCTAATTTTCATTGTAAATTTTACCCCATAATTTTTTACCCAATATTTTTTCTCTCTTCCGCGCTTCCTCTTACTTCCCTTGCCATGCCATTACTCCAGGTCAAATTCATTACTTCGTTGCTTCTCCTTAAATCCAACATCATATTATTCTTTTCACATTTACATCCTCGGATAAACCATAATCTTCCTCTTCCTAATCATTCGTCTCCTTGGAACTCCTCTTCATGTTTCCACCTCTTCCTTTATACCTTCATTCCAAATCTCATCTTACTCTCTTCTTCATCCTCCTCTTCTTTTTTCATTCAGCGTTTTCCTCACTTTCTATTTTAATCTGTCCTCCATCCCTCATCAACTTATCCTCCTTTAACCACTTCCTCCTCCCTACCCTGTTCTACTACATCAGCTGATTACAGTGTCTCTCACATGTTGCAGATGTCGGCGGCCGTGTCCAGTGAGGTGGTTAGGCAGCAGGACTGTATAGACTCGTCAGGGTGTCGGTTGCGAGGGGTGGTGGTCGACCCCTTCCTCCTCCCTACCCTGTTCTACTACATCAGCTGACTACAGTATCTCTCACTTGTTGCAGATGTCGGCGGCCGTGTCCAGTGAGGTGGTTAGGCAGCAGGACTGTATAGACTCGTCAGGGTGTCGGTTGCGAGGGGTGGCGGTCGGGAGCGTCACCAGTCTCCACGCCGCCCCCGCTCCCACCCCCGGCAGTCTACAGAGGCCCAACAAGCCGTGCTGCTTCTGCTGGTGCTGCTGCTGCAGCTGTTCTTGGTAAGTGAAAGTCACTATAACTACACTAGTGAAATCCTTCTGAGGCCATCGGTTGAAGTGATAAAGTGACATAACCATTATCTATGTTGGTTAAAGAATTAGTACGGACATTTTCCATCACGGTTTTCTTCGAGTGGCAACATTAACCATGGGATTGCAATGCTAGACAACTTTGTTGCATCCTCAACTGGGGTTTACGTCAACAAACCATTAAAGGTTCTGAGGATCATTCAACTCCTTGAGAGTTTCTACACGATCGTTCCCTGAATTTCCCCTGACTACTGACATTATCCAAGGAATCTTGTCCGAACTCACAATTAGGCTGGGCACTCAAACAATATATTGAAGGTGGGTTTCTCATCCTCACAGCTTAGCGTGCTCAAGAGGCTATCAAGTAGAATCCCCATCTTGTTCAAGAGTCAAAGAAACACCAGTGGCTAAGTTTCCTTCAGGATAGCTGCTTCCTATTATTTATATTCTTAGGGCATCCGATGTTACTGCACCAGTTGGTGCTGATAGCGGCATCATCAACTTAACATTGCCTTCCGTGGTTTAACAGAGCGTATGATGTTTTTTTCATCCACTGATAGATGAAAGTGAATGACTTTTCAGGATCGGTCATGTTAACCGTCCTGTCTTACATCATTTTCAAAACATCCATCAGTAGGATGTCCACTATTGTGTGATCACCGGAAGCATTAAATTTCCATTTAATACCACAGCCAATCATTATGTAATCATCCTTCTTCCCTTAACAATAATGCCAAGAGAAGGGAGGTTTAGCAATACTCCAAAGCTGCTGTAGGGGTTCCATCACGATTGGTAGATCTAGTTTTCACGATATTACGGGATCTGGTATCTGATCCAGTCCTTGGGCGAAAAAGTACCTAAAACATTTCAAGATTAGTACACAAACTCAGCTAAAAGAAATAACAAAGGAAACCCAATGCTTGAAACTGTATTGTAGTCTTTCTTACCTGAGAATGGGGTCAGATTAGAAATCCTAAAACACGTATAAAACCTTGTAAAAATCATCCTCTACCTTAATGTCACTACGATTTCAATACCTACAGTGGTCTATGATATGCAGTGTAATTTGAGTATGACGTAAAGTCAAAAATCACTATCAAAATACTGCAGTAATGAGTAAGAGTTCAAAAGCTACTCGCCATCGCAAAATGATTACCTTCTCACACGTTCCCTGAATTAATTGAACATTAGATAAATACAAACTTCTCGTTGTTTGTAAACTATACCGGTCACCCTCTCCCCTTTTCAGCAAACAGTGCCGCTATATTTTTAAATAAAAACAACAATAATATTTGTCTTGTTCCACGGTGTATTTCAAACTGATTCTACTCTAACTGATAAGTATAACGGTAAAGTATAGTCGAGACCAAACCACTAGTCCAATATTCTTACTGGGTCCCCCAAAAAAAATAGTTTCTTGACCAAATGTTTTGTTAACATGTTTATTTTATGAATATAAAACAATATTAACGAAAGCAACCTTTAATCTATCTTATTTGCCGAGGTTAAAACTTGACCTCGGGTCAAAAAGAGTCACTTTGGGCCCTAGTGATGAAATATACTACAGTAGATTGGTTATGGCTCGTACCTTAAATTTTCTACTCGTGTCGTCAACACTATTTACGTGAGTTGCGTACACTACTTTACCTACGACAGGGTTTAATTACTAAAAATCACTACTCATAACTTCTAAGAGAGGTTATGTTTTCGTTAATAACCTCTCATTGCCACGGACAGTGATGCAACGAAACATTAACATTGCAATAAACACTAATTGCACATTAAATTGGCAACTAAACAACAAAAAATTGGCAAATTAACAACAATTAAATTGACCTGAACAGCTGATTAGTTAAAGTTCAAATCATTACAATTTTTTAGTTTTTTCCCTCAATCCTTGAACGTCATTGGTCCGTTGCCCGTGTTGTTATGAGTAAAACCGTTGACGGTAAAACTATGCTGTTATGAAAGTAAACGACGCTGTTATGAAAAACCTTTCAATTCTAAAAACTGAATAAAAACAGCTACTTAAAAAAAAAAAATTGGTCGTAGGTAAAATATATGAACACACTGCTATGATTTACTTAAGATAGAATAAAGGTTGATTTCGTTAATATTGTTTTATATTAATAAAATAAACATGTTAACAAAACATCTGGTCAAGAGAATATGATTTATATTTGGGATCCTTACACATTGATTTGCCGAAATCCTAAAAAAACTACGTTTTTAATAAATCTGCAAAATTTCCTTGTTGTCGTTAGAAAACAATATTTTTATGACGATTATTCAAGTATATTGCCATATTCGATGTAATTTTATTGCTTATTCTAACCACAAATAATTATCATGTTGTCATTCAGCCTAAATTTGTTTCAATGGTAAAAGGTAAGGATAATGAGAAAAGAATGTAGTGCTATTTAATATTCCTACGTTAAACAATGTTCTGGTTTCATTACTCCATTTTTCTGTATATACAGGGTGTTGCAAAAGTCTTAACACACCCAAGAATAAATTAAACGTCTTAAGATAAAACTTTTTAACTTAAACATATTATTGTATGATGACTTTTTTGACTTAGAGAAATAAGAGAATGTGTTACACTGGATTACAAATGATAGTGAATAAAATTTGACAACTGGACACAAATGTATTAGCTCATTGGAATCCCAACACAAAACAAACATTAAATAAAATAAAATAAAAACGATTAAGAACAGCTGATTTACAAACAAAATTACAGTAACTCACTTTTAAACAATGCATTGTGGGTAGAAAAATTAATGTTGAATCTTTTTGAACAAACATATTGATTAGTCACACTTAGTAATTGGAATTAGGGTTTAAGTTATAGTATTTATAAGCTTTGTTTGTGTTAAAAAACAATGTTTACTTACCTACATAAATTAGTCCAACAATAAACCAAAATAATAATGTGACCTTGCAGTTTTATTCCTAATATAATAACAATATAAGAGTTCAGAAAAATGGTGAGAAAAACTTTAAACATTCACACCAACAGCCTAAAACAAAACATGGTTAAACATTTTGTATCTGCATTGTATGGTGTTAGACTTTTTTATTCCAAATCCATCTTCAAGCGTTTTAGGTCACTATTAGGTACAGGTTGTTCGTAAAATATTTTCCATCACACCAAAAGATCTTCAAAATTAGGGGCCACAACATGGGTTTTAACATTTTAATATTTTGAGTTGCCCCCTATCTAACCTAAAAGGGGAAGGGGAAAAGTTTTAATCTCTTAAAAAAAGCTATTGAAGTCGTCTTACAATGATATATTGAAGTATAAAAAATATATGTTAAGCCGTTTAATTAATTTTGGGGTTTGTTAAGACTTTTTCAACACCCTGTATAATGTGTATTGTAGATTAATGCATTGCGACGGTAAAATGCAGCAAACTAAGCCGAATAAGACGTGTGTTATAGAGTTAAATAACTGAAATGATCCAATACAAGAGTCATGTAGGGTATCTTAACATCCTTATCTGTATCAGAATTAATCAACAAATATTTGATTTCAAAACTCTTTAAGGTGAAATTTGAACAAATTAGTACTGCTATTCCACAGACAATGGAGCAATTAATATTTTAATCAAGGCCGTAGCTAGGACAAATTTTCGGGGGGTCTGGTTAGTGGTGGTTGTATCAAGGGGGGTGGTTGAGGGGGGTGGAGCACCCCAAAAAGAAGGGGGGTCTGTGGGTCCTCCCCCAGGAAGATTTTACATTTTTAAAGCCGTTTGGTGACTTTTTAAAGAAGTTTTTAACGCCTAAAACTTTGTCCAATTCTCCAAAAACACCCATTTCACCTGAGCAAGTAGACATATAAAAAATTAATCTAAGACGATTACATTCAAGAATTTTAAAACATGATGTAGATTATGGACATATCCTTCTAAAAGGAGTTCTTGTCTTGGCGACTTTCTAAATCCATGTTTAACTAGAACCGTATCCAAAAACCTCGAATTTCACCTTTTATTTGTCATGAACAAGTAGACATTTTAAAAACTAAAACATAACGATCGTATTCATAAATTTCAAAACATACTGTAGGCTAAGGCATTAATTTTTACAACTAAATTTTGAGGTTTCGGGGGGGGGGGGTTGGCCCCCTAACCCCCCTTGGCTACGGCCTTGACTTAAATTAATGCGACGTAATTAATAATAATAATAGAGTCGTCGAGTCGTGTTATCATTGACAATGTTATTCTACTTACTGTCTGTCAGTGGTTGTACTGTATTTACCCAGGCCGGTAAAGTAGACTTAGTTCTCGTATTGGCCACCAGAGGGAACCACACAACACGTACTTCGTTACCGACAAACTCAAATAGTTCTCCCAATCTCCACTAGATCGTTATGTCTCTTTTTGAGGTTAATTTGTTGGTGAGTTATCAATACACGATTTTCTAAAACCACCGACGCCCTGTTCAGTAAAATGTCATTTTTTTGCTACACAGTTAAAACAGTGTTATTTTTTTTAGTTTAAGGGCGTAAATTAATCATATATAATATCAAAGTTATATTAGGCACTTTTGCACTTTCACAACAATTTCAAAAAAATTATTTTGTAAAAAACTATTTTATTATTTTTGTACTAAGTAGAAAAAAAATTAACTTACCATACTGTCAACAAGTAAAAAAAAAGAAAAATCATGGAAAATACTAAGTTCTACAAACAACTTTAATATTGAAAGTGGTAATTATTTTGAAGTCATTAATATTTTTGACGCCGATGGTTCGAATAATTTATAGGTAAAGCATGTATTATAATAGTACACAAAATCCAAAAACAAATTATGTGTTTTATGAATTTAGTTCGGATTTTAGATTATTTGTGTAGTTTGAGTTTCTTAACATTCCTAATACTGTTTCATGCTACCTTAGCACAATATACTGTAATGCACTAAAAAAATTTAATATTTTTCATGCTAACTGTAGGAACAAATGGTAAGTG